GCATCTGAACTGCATTGCGATTCTGCAGTGGAAACATTGCATGTTGTTTTCACTATTGTACACTTGAACTGCACATGCAAGAAAAAAAAAAAAAAGGTGGAATGTCTCAACACCATCATCAGCTCAGGGTATTTGCCAATCTGAAATAAAGCGGGATGGGAAGCGTGTCCTTCAGAACAAGGGTACAAATGCCCCTTTGCTGCAGTGTGTGTATGTGTGGGTGCGTGAGTCTGTGTGGGGGGTGGGGGGGGAGTGGGGTGGGAGGGTCTGGGCAGGGTTTGAAAGGCAGCATTTTATTTTATTTTTTTTTTTTAATTTATTCTTTTAGAATGTGACAATTTCATGAACAGCCACATCGGGGAGGAAACTGTAACAGATTGCTACAGATGCCTTAAACTATGCACAAAGCTAAGTGACCAAATTTGTTTGTGATTTGAAGGAAAAAAGAAAAAATAAAAAAAAAGAAAAATTACAAAAAAAAAAAAACCACAACCAAGTGCATTGTTTACCTGTTCCTCCCTCTGCTGAAACATCGCCCGTTGGTGGGGTTTGGATGGGAAAAGGAGAAAATGTTTTTCTAGGACAAAATTAAAGGACTAATTTTAAACTTAACAACATTCCATTTTTGTAATTTGTTTGACATCGTTTTCAGTACAGTAAGCACAACTGTAAGCTGATTTGAGAAACTGGTGCTTTCTTTTAGTTCACTTGTATTTCCCTGTTATTCTTGTAAAAGACTGTTTATCGATTCTGTTTACAGTTTGTCGCAACAGCCATTTTTGGGAGAGAGCTTCAGCGTAAAGCCGTTGGCAAGGCTTTGCCGCAGTCGTTTTAATATGTGCCTGTTGCTGTTAACTTCTAATTGGTAAAAGAGATCGTTTTGCATTCTGCTCCCGTACATTTAAGTTACAACCGAGTCCAGCAGTACAGAAAGGCGGCGAAGGCTGCAGTCAGCTTCCACTGTACACTGAGCCCAGCTTTGGATTTGGAAATTGTCCTCAGATTCTGGAATTTATTGGCTTGGCCTCTTACTGTATGGAAAACAACTTCTGACTTACCTGTTCGTTTCCCCTCTAAAATTAAGTTGTTGGTTATTCTTTCATGTTCCCTGAAGTAATACTGTAATTCTTGAGGTGGCCATGTTTAAAGAAATAAATTTGTAATGAAACCACTCGTTCTGAGCCTGCGTCAGCTTCCTTCCTTTGTTATCTGAGTCTGGGCAGAAGGATCAAAGGCAATGTGAGTGTGGGTGGGTGCTGAGATGGCTATGAGTGGCCTCTCCTCAGCAGGCTGCTCGGCAAAGGGCCATCCTGGGTGGCCTTGTTAAGGACAGGGCCTCGCTGGCTGTATCAACTTTGCTACTTGTTGCCTTGTTGCAGGCTTTTAGATATGTGTCAGTATTTCTAATGGAAAGGAAGGGAATTTACAAATATCTATATAGCACTACTTAAATGTAATATTGATAAACAACCTGTGCCATTTGTTGTTAAGCAGGTCGCTCTAGTTGGATAAGAACCAATGCAGTGGGTCCCAGTGCTGAGTGACAGGGTTCTGATCCCACTTATGAGTGTATGTGGGAGCTTCTGACATTGGACTGAAGTGAAAATCAAAATCCCTCTTCTTCAAAGCACTGCCTAGAAATTCCTTTTAAAAACCTATGCTGAATATCAGCATTAATTGTTTCATGTGCTGCTGAGAGCATCGATGTGCTGCGAGCATCTGTAATGCATTACAGCTGCTGAGAGTCACTCAGCCCATCTGGATCCTGGAGTGCATTATAGGATGGATGTCAGGTTCCCATTGTAACTGCTTTAATCTGCAGATCTGCTGCTGGGCCACCCCATGTGCTGGAGAGCCAGGCACAGGCCTTGGGCTCTGCTGCAGGTGTCTGTCCAGTGTGTGTGTCCCCACTTTGAGTACTGCTGCCTGGGAGGCTTTCTGCTGGCACTGGCACACGGAATGGAAAGATTTAAAAGCAGAAAGATGCATAATAAGGTGTATGAAATGTATGTATGAAAGTATGAAGTGAATTAATTGACGGCAGCTTTGTGCTGCGTTTTCCATACAGAGGGTGTTTCCGTTACCACAGCTTTATGTCATTAATAAGGCTTTGCCACGTTCTTGTATTTCTGGGGTACCGAACGCCTGCACCTCACATCAACATTTCAAACCAGAGAGGTTTTTCTCATGTTTCAGACAAATTTAAGGGGTCGGTCGATATCCTGAACTTTACAATTAATGACATAACTGAACTGAGTTATGTTATCACAAATTACGGAGTTGAAGTGAAGTTGGCTGAAACGTTTTCACAAATGTGACTTCAGTAGAGTTTTCTGGGCCAGCTGTTGTGAAGCTGTGGCCTCTGGGGAGAGGAGTGAGTGCCACAGAAGTGCACGCAGTGACTGACCAGAACCCCTATGTGGGTACCAGGAGTGTATGAGAAGCTGCAGGGTAAGCCTGGGGGAGGCATAACGTCCTCCCTCCCCCTGAATTACCAGCAGTGTGCTACTCTAGGACTAATTGTGCTGCACAGCAAGGTAAGTAGTCCTGTCCTGTTCTGAAACATGCAGGCTGCCAGTGCATTTCTAGTCACTGTCATAGAACATAGACTATACTTGATTGTGGCTGACATCATTTGTAGAGCACCACAAATCGCATACCCAGTATTTATTTTAAATGCTTTTAATTTTATATAATGGCAGTAGAGCATTAAATACAAAACACCCAAAATTAACTTTTCAAAAAGTGTTGTAAAGGCGTTTAAAAGAAACATGAGGATTCAACGGCCTATCAGTAAAACTGATGGCAGAGCATTCTGAAAAGAATTTATATTGTGTACATATTAACATCATTTCAAGTTTCACACCAGAAAACATCCTCCTTGATCATACAATCTACATCCCAGTTACAGGCAGCAGCAAAGCCTCAGTCATCATCAGTAACCTCCCAGGACCATTCACTTGTTTTTACTGCAAATGTGCTCTGTTTCTCCTTTCCTAGAAAACAGCAGCTCTAAAAGGCACTTGTACTTGCTTGAGTAGCAGGCAGACTACAGAATAGCCACACGTGGCTCCGAGCCCAGCTGCAGTCAGAGCAAACCCTGGCTTCCCTTAGGCATGCAGCAGTTACAGCTGGTTGCACAACAGCTTTTCTCAAGCTGAGCTCTGGATCTAGCTTCAGCCCTGCACGTTTGTAGACAGAGGCAAGAGGGTTGGTCAGCAAACCAGCTCTGTGCAGGTCTGGCAGCAAAGAACCTCTGTGGGAAATCTGCGAAGGACTTCCCCTGAAAACAACATTATGTGCAACAACTTCAATCGTGGCTTCCTGCAAAGAGGACCACGAGGGCTTGTGCAGTCCCCAACGGCTCAAAGCCTACCCAGCTGGGAATAAAAGGTGTCAGCACAGCTGAGATGAGCGATATATTTTTGGCAACTTCCACCCCCTGGTATTTTCTGCCTTTTTACCTACACCGCTGCTGCTCTGGCTAACACGTGCTCTGACAGTAATCCTTTCACTCTGCTGCTACCTCCTGTTTAGTTCAGGTTTGCTGCAATACCAGCATTGAGGGCCCCACAGCACTCTGGCCACAAGATGGTAAGTATTGCTATCTTACCACTGCAACTCTGTGCTGCTACTAAAATTCTCACACCAGGTGACTTCTGCAGCAGATTTCAGTTTTTTCTTGATTCAGAATGAAGCAGCTGTACTCATTTTTTTGGGGGGAAGAGGGCTAAAAAATTGCTAAAATGAAGTTTAAAAGAAACAGCGACATGGAAAAAGTCAGTATCAAAGTAAACACTGTAGTGCAAGTTACCATTAGAGCTCAAATGAGTGATTAACGTAAGGGTCTATTGCCGTCACTATTAACATGTACACAATGTTTTAAGGCAGTCAGTCATACACAAGGAACGTCATAGAGATAACATAGTGTTACTGAACAAAAACCATCATGTAAGTCTACACAGAAAGCCAGGCTTGAATACAAAATTAATACCTGAGTATAAGGTTGAATTTATTCCTTGTGGTAAATCACATGCAAACATGCACCTCAAACTTCGTGCTTAGTTCCACATCAGTTTTCTTCAGCTCTGCACAAGACCACTTGGTACTAATGCTATTTGCAACACAGGAGACTTCAGACATAGCAGCTTGACGGTCTTTCACACAGCGATCTCAGAACATTAAGATTTTTCAATTAAGGTCTTCATTTTTCCTGTAGACTTCAGCATGTGTGGTCCAAACTGAGAAGAAAACCAGAGGCACGGATTGCTTTCAGCAGAGACCCGGCTGAACTATTACCATCCAAGGTGTACGTAAAACCAGAACCTGGGCGGTGGGAACTTCCTTTGTCTACTTGTTCCCATGCAAATGTTGCCAACTCAGCCTTTTATCTTAAAGCCTCTGATGCTAGAAATAAGGGATTGATGTGGGGGAAACATAGCCCTGAAATTGTAAAGAACAGCTTGAAAGTTGCTAGGGCTGTTCAGTGTGGGGAAAAGGAGGCTGAGGGGAGACCTTACTGCTCTCTTCCAGTATCTGAAAGGTGCTTACAGTGAGAGCAGGGTTGGTCTCTTCTCACTGGTGTCAGGACGAGGGGAAATGGCCTCGAGTTGCACCAGGGGAGGTTTAGGTTGGATATCAGGAAACACTTCTTTACAGAAAGGTGGTTAAGCACTGGAATAGGCTTCCCAGTTGAGTCACCATCCCTGGATGTGTTTAAAAACCTTTTGGATGTGGTGCTCAGGGACGCGATTTAGTAGAGGGCCATTACAGTTAGGGCAGTGTGGTTAGGTTGTGGTTGGACTTGATGATCTTTAAGGTCTTTTCCAACCTGAGCAATTCTATGATTCTATACTGACCTGAAAGGCCTAAGTCAGAAGGCAAGTCAGTCAGTCAGCATTAATAAGCTGAACTAGTTGCAAGTCCGGAGACT